CAGAATAGGGGAAGGCTGAGAAATGGGGAGCATCAGAGTGGATTTTAAATGTAAGAAAACAGCTTTCAGCTTCTTGCTGTCGTTTCTGCAGAGCGTGAAGGTTATTGGTCTAATGGGAAGGCCCGGGACACGTCTGCAGAGATTCTAGTTACCTCCAAATGTCCGTGGCTAATGAAAACCATTTTTTAAACTTTTTTTCCCCCCCAATTAGCAAGCAGTGATTTTTTCCCTCTCTACTTCACAGTAGATAAAAAAAAAGAGAAAAACAAAATGCATGTAATAATACGCAGAGCCAAGCAAAACAAATTCCCCCATTGGTTATGTCCAAGAAAGGGTGTCTCTTTCTACAGCTTGAATTCATTAGCTATCTCTCTGTCAGGAGGTGGATAGCTTGCTCTTTGCTGGGCCTCTGGAATCATCGTTGGTCATGCCACAATCCACATACTTTTAAAGTTCCACAAGTAATTTAAAAAGAAAAAAAAAGGCCGAATGTTCAAAGTCTATTTGACACAAGAAAATTTATCTCTTTGAGATGTTTGGGGGTTTTTTGGTGTGTGTGGATGGTGGATGATCCCCAGCCAATACATTTTATTCCCACATCTGGACATTTGTCTTTCTTTGCTGACTGTCTAGATCACATTCCTGTTCCTAAGTAGCCATCCTGAGAAGCCAAACATTGTGAAGTGTTAGAGATCATAGCTTTTGTCCAAAGATTGGCTTCCTATCCTGGTAGATACAGTACTGATAGCAGGCATGATGGTGGGCTTGCTCTGGGGTTGGGTGGGCTGGACTGGAATCCAGGCTTGGCCACTTATAACCTGTGTGACCCTGGGCAAATTTTGGCCTTAATCTCCTCATCTGTTAAATAAGGGGCCATCTCTTACTCTACGTAATAGCCAAAAGGAAGTAATGGGATACGACAGAAAGAACACTAGACCCGGAGTCAGAGGATGTAGGACTGAATCCTGCTTCTGCCTCTTACTTCCGGTATGATGTTGGACAGGTCACAACCTCTTTCAGCCTCAGTTTCTTCATCTGTAAAGTAACAGGTTTCCATTAAATGACCTACAAAGTTCCTTCCACTTCTGAACCGGATGTCCTATAGGCATTCAAACTTAACATGCCCAAAACAAAACTCATTACATTTCCCTTAAAAGCTACTCTAAATTTTCCTGTTACCATCCAGGTTGTTACCAGCTTCCCAGTCCCCAGGTTCACAGCCTTGGTCATCCTTGATGACTTACCCTCCCTCACCCCTATGTCCAATTACATGCCAGATCTTGCTGTTTCCACCTCTACGACATCTCTCATATAAGACATCCCCTTTTCTCCCTACACACAGGGACCTTCCCGAGTACAGCTCTTCATAACCTCTCACCTGGACGATTACATTGGCTTTCTCCTTGGTCTCCTGCCCCAAGTCTCTTCCCATGCCAATTCATCCTCCACTCAGCTGCCCAAGTGATTTTCTTAAAGGCAGATTTGACAATGCCACCCTCTACTCAATACTCTCCAATGATTCTTTGTTTCCTCTAGACTCACATACAAACTCCTCCATTTGGGATGTAAAGCCTTTCACAACCTGGCCCCTTCCTATTTTTCTACAAAATTTTCCCCTCTCTGTGCCCTTTGGTTCCACCATACTGACCTGCTTTTCCTTGTATGCAACATTCCATGTGTGGTAGCCATGTTTTTTCACTGGCTTCCCCTCAGGTTCTCTCACCTCACTTCTGCCTCCTGGATTCCCTGGCTTCCTTTAAGGCTCAGCTCCCAACGACCTTCTTCAGGAGGCCTTTCCTGCTTCCCCAACTGCCTGTGCCTTCCCCTCTGCCATTACCTTCAGGGCCTTGCTGCCTACCTTCCATCTTCTCTGCAGACTTCTCAGTTCTAGCTTTGTTCAGGTTGACTCACCCATTAGAATGTAAGTTCCTTGAGGGCAGCAGCCGTTTCATTTTTCTCTGTATATATTTAGCTCAGTGCCCATAGTAAGTTACATCATAAAGACTTGGTAATTGGTTTATTGGTTGGGTGAGTGATAGGTTTTATGGAATGACTTGATTTACTGTATCGATTAGATTTACTTGATTATTAGAATTACTTGAAGGGAAGCTGATAGCCACTTATAATGCAAGGCTGTAAATGAAGGCCTAATTTTTTTTTTTTTATGGGGAGTTCTCTGCTCTGTTTTGAAAGTCAATTTGGGTGGTAGGGTTACTTAACCAAGCAAAGTCAGAACTGTCTAAAGAGAAGTTTCTCTTTTAGCAGACAACCCTAGTAATATAGAATCATTTGTCCATCCCCATCAATGTTCTTTCAGCCATCCAGATGTGTCTCTTGAAGAACTGGAAGGTGGTGTGGTATAGTGGTTAGAATGCCCGTATCTGCAGGAAAGCCCACATTCAGATCCCCCTGCAGGCACTTACTAGACAAATGACCTTGGGAAAGTGATTTACGACCCTCAGTTTCCTCTTCTGTAAAATGGGGATCACTGAGGTTGTTGTGAGGATCAGATGAAATTAAGGTTTGCAAAGGGTTATTGCTATTAATTAAAATGAGCTCTGCATTTGTTGCATGTAGAAAATGGAAGTTTTCAGGAATTACATGAGCCTCTCTGCAGAACCACAGGTCAACAAATGACCACTTGTCCTGAACTCTCCCAGAGAGAAGCAGATGATGCCTCCATTTCTCAGGTCATTACCGATTCTCCTTGGAACAGCCCACAGTAACGATCTGGCACTTCTTTTCTGGGAATTGAAAGGAGGCTACTGGGAGACAGGGGCTTCCTTACTCCTCATGATTGCCTTCTGTGAACCCTTCATTATGGTCCTCACTTCCTTCTGTCTCATAAAAACAGAGCTGGGGTCACGAGGCTTTCTTAGCCCTTGTTAGAGTCGCCAGGATTCCTGGGAGGTGGGGAAGGGGGCCTTTGAACCTAAAGCTCCCATCTGACTGACCCCAAGTTTGATGAACTTAAATGAACGTTTCTCATCAGTGATCAGAACAGAGTTTCTGTTCCTTTTTTCATGGGCAGCCTGGCTGCCTGGTACTAGTGAGTTTTCTCTCTTGTTAAGTAAACAGGCAACTTCATTTTTAAATGTAAGGAGGAGCAGGTGGGGAGTTTCTATATGTCTGTTGGTGCATGAACAGTGATTAACTAGAGAGTTGCAGGACAGCCAGTGGTGCAGTACCTGGCCTGAGTTAGGAAGATTCATCTTCCTGAGTTCAAATCTGGCCTCAGACACTTAGTAGCTGTGTGACCCTGCCTCAGTTTCCTCATCTGTAAAACAAGTTGGAGAAGGAAATGGCAAAGCACCCCAGTCTCTTTGCCAAGAAAACTCCAAATGGGGTCATGAAGAGTTGGATGTGACAGAATCGACAACAACAAAAAGAAAGTTTCACTTACTGCCTTCTGCCTGCCCCACCCTTCCTGAGAGGCCTGAGAAAAACCTTGGGTCTTATAGGGATCACAATATTTTAAAACAAGAAGAGACCTTAGAGATTTTTTTACTATTTCATGCATAGGTTGTGTGTAGCTACTTACATAAATAAGTATACATCAATTAAAAATTTTAATATTTTTGTTTTGTTATTTTATAATTTCAAAATTTATGTATACTTATGTAAATAAATGTACATAAAATTTAAAGTTTTTGTAAATGTCTTTCTGTTAGATTGTAAGCTCCTTGAGGGCAAGGACTGTTTCATTTTTGTCTCTGTGACCCCAGCCCCCAGCAACAATCGATAAATGTCTGATCTCATCTAGTGCCTGGCTCTGCTAACTTTTTAATAAATGCTTGTGAAATTGATTTGAATTGAATTGTTCCACTCCTTTGTGTGTTACCGGTAAATAAACTGAGGATGATGGGGTAATGATCTCCGGGTCCCAAAGTTAGTGAATAGAGAGCGGAGTTTTCAACATACATGTCTTCCCAACCTCCAAATTCATCGCACTTTTCATGATACCATGGTACCTGCTCAGTGGACCATGAGTTTACCAAATGTTAGATCAAGTCTAACAGGGGAAGTGGGGGAGGGAGAGGAAAAAGCATTTATGGAGCACCTGCCACCGTGCTAAGCGCTTTACAAATATGACCTCCTTTCAGGTCCAGAGCCCTTTAATCAGCACCGTTTACTACCTGTATGACATTGGCAAGAAACTTAAACTCTCTTGGCCTCCATTTCACAGTCTGGAAAATGGTGGATGGGGTACACTAATGACGGTTTCTTAAGCTTTTTTTGTGTCCTGGACCCTTGTGACAGTGTCTGGGAAGCCTATGGAGCCTTCTCAGAAGAATGTTTTTAGTATATAAAATAAAATATGTACGATTACATTTACATTTATCATATTTTGAAAAACAAGTTCATGGACTGCAGAGGATAAGAACTCCTGCTTAGATGATCTTAAAGTCTTCTTTTCAGCTATAAATCTGTGAGCCTGTGTTCCCTGTTTCCTTCACAGCCTCCTAATCCTGAGTCTGGTTTTGTCTGAAAGCAGAGACAGAAAAAAAGAGTCAGCATCACTCACACCCTTGAATATCACTTGCAAATCCATTTTTTGGATTGGCTATCCATGCCTTTGGACATCCCTTGACAGCCAGTTTTTAAGGTAGCTGATTCAAAGCACTTCAGGGCTTTTTAGATGGAAACCATATATTTCAATTATAAATGGAATCAACATGGTTGGATGAAAGTGACAAAGCTAATGTAATATCCATGGGATGGTGGCCTCCCCCCTTCCTGTGGTGCCTTCAGAGCTAGTGGTCACTTAAAGAATTATCAAATGTTACAGCTGGAAGGGACCTTGGCCATCCTCTGGTCCAACACCCTCATTTTTCAGAAAAGGAAACACTTAGAGGTTAAGTGATTTGCTTAAGGGAATCCAGTCAGTGAGAGGGTGGGACTGGAATTAGGTTTCCTGACTTTCAGTCTAGTGTGCAGAAGGAGGATGAGTGGGTGGGAGTTGGAGGCAGGGGGAGGGGCAGATGTATTAGGAAAAAAATCCTAGTCACTTGAAAGGCCTTGAGCAAAGGCTTAGATGACTATTGGTTAGGCATGAATTCTTGTTACCGTGAGATGGTATCTGAGACTACCTTACTGGGCTATGACTCTGACTACCTAGATGAGAGCTGTTTTGGTCTCTGGGTGCCCCATTTTAGGAAGACCATTAATAAGGGGTCCAGAGAAGGGCAAACAAGATGGTGAAGGGCCTTTAACCCATGTTACATGAGGACATGTAGAAGGAGCTGGGGATGCTGAGCCCAGAGGAAAGATAGGGATGGTGGTTGCCTTCAAGAATCTGGCCATCAGTCACATGGAAGGGGTGTTGATCTTGTCTGCTTGGCTCCAGAGGGAATGAGTGGAAGTTACAGAGAGGAGACTTAGCTCTAAAGCCAGGAAAATTTCCTAAGAACCAGAACTATCCCTTTGTGGAACGGGCTGCCTGGGTAAGTACTGGGCCCGCTTTGCTGGAGGGCTGCAGATAACTTGTAGGGGATATTGTAGTGAGGGGAGACTGCTCCAGTAGGAGCCTCTAGGGGCCCTTCCCACCCTGACACTGTGTGACAGTGACTTTCTTCATGAATTTTCTTGTTCTCAACATTGCAGAGGCAAATCTTCGCTCTCCTCATGGTAGCCCAGAAGTGCAAACTTCAGACAGGTTTGTTGGGCCAGGGGGCAACTCCCAGGCACTCTGAGTCTGAGAGCAACATAAGCCTAGTTGTTGGACAGTTTGCAGGCTTATGGGCTGGTTTGGATGGGGCCCATGGGTTTGCTGGGGGAGAAAGTCCAGCCTGCTTCACAGGAGGTAGTCGCTTGTGTGTTCCAGACTTCTGTCTTTCAAGTTCACAAGACCCGATGATAAATCTAACTAGCAATACTTACATCGTGTGTTTTCTTTGGTTTTGTGGCCATGGAGAAAAATCACTGTGACCTGTTCATTCCAGACAAATTCTTGGTAATGGCCCATCATGCAGTTTTCTATAGCTTTCCTATTTGGCCCAACCCATGATCTGAATTGGAGACTAGGCTATATTCCACATTCAGAATCTATGCTTGAACAAGATTATATTCAGTTACTGTTTCTTTATCACTCCGTGTGTGTATGTGAGTGTGAGTGTGTGTGTGGGGGGGTACCCACGTGCACTATCCTGGGCACATGCCACAAAACCCCAAGTGTTTCCAGAGAGAATAATAAAATGTTGAGATGGAAATGTCATTTTGGATTCTCCAACAACAAACGTCAGTGCCCCGTTTGTGAAAACTGCCTTGCTTTTCACTGAGCCCCCTTTTTCCCTTTAGTGGCCAGTGCTAGAAGATTGTGTTCACAATCGTCCTTGGGAAAGCATGGCAGCTTGGCAGGCATCACCTTCAGCAAGAAAGGTGCCCACTGGAGCACGGGCTGGTAAGTCTCCCTGCAGATGGATCTCCTGCTTCTTTGCAGCTGCAGGCCCCTTTCTCTGGTCGTGCCCCCCATGGCTATGGGGGATCTGAGATGGAGTTCCGCTTGGTTGCTTCCCGCACACTCATGAGCTACTCAGATGAGATCAATCAGCGGGCGGACGGCCAAGTAGCATGGAACCGGACCCACGGGGGAGCGGGTGCAGCCCGAAGGCCGATTCAAGGCCAGCCTCAGAGAGGCCGCTCCCAGCAACAGGAAGTCTGGTGAGGCGTCATGTTACCGGAGAAAACCTTCAATTTGGCCCCGGTGATTTGTTTTTTTAAAGGCTTGGCTCCTATTTCTTCTTGAAGTCTTTTGAAAGCTAAACTTTGTCTTTTTTAAAAAATTTCTTACATATTTTTGTTTCAGCTGGAATTTGGGATTATGTTGGTCTGGGGCATGCCAGGGGTGGAAACTCCCTCCATTAATCAGATGGGCAACTCCTCTGTGATTTCTTGTCTTAGGAAGTTACCTGGGCATGGAGGTCTAATAACTTACCTAGGATCACACAGCTGGCATATGGTGGGACTGGAACCCAGGTCTTCCTGACTCCAAGGCCAGCTCCCTGCTCTCTGTGTCAAATGCTTTTTTTTTTCATCAAGGGATGGAAAAGCACTTGTTGGTTGTATTGGGATTGCCTTTAATTTTTCTTCTCTGTTTCTGGACACCACAGGGGCGAACATTTTTTGTATGTACACCTGGGTTTAGGAAGGAAACAAGCATTTATTAAGTGCTTACTGGGTGCCAGGCACCACGGCAAGTGCATTTCATTTGATCCTTACAACAACCCTGGGAAGTAGGGGCTGTGCTTAACCCCACTTTACAGTTGAGGAAACTGAGATGATTGGAAATGATGGGTGTGGGGAAGATAGTTGACGGGGAGAATTAACATCTTTTGTAGCTGATCCGTATGATTTCTCTATTTTTGAGACGTCATCTGTCTGAGAGCAAAGTTGTTGTTCAGTCCTGTCTGACTCTTCGTGACCCCATTGGGCATTTTCTCGGCAAAGACATTGGAATAGTTTGCCATTTCCTTCTTCAGCTCATTTTACAGATGGGGAAACTGAGGCAAACAGAGTTGAGTGACTTGCCCAGGGTCACACAGCTAGTAGGAGTCTGAGGCTGGGTTTGAACTTGGGAAGATGAGTCTTCCTGACGCTAGGCCTGGCGCCCCCTAGCTGCTCCTCTGAGAGCACAGCGCCAACTTACACACGTGTGCTGGGATGAATAGTATTAGATTTATGGTTGGAGGACCCTGGGTTTGAATTCTGGTTCTGTCACTTGTTTTGTGACTTGGGGAAAACCACCTCATCTGCAAAGAGAGAGGGTTGAGCTACAATGTCCTCCAGGTCCTTTCCATCTTTAAAAAGTCTCCTGGGAGAGCTGAAACTAGATACCTATTTGTAGATCATTTCCTGACTGGGGAACTTCCATGTCAGACAAGGTCCCTGCCGCAGGAATCAGAGCAGGAAGACCTTAAAGACCCATCTCCTCTTTGAAACTGAGGCACAGAGAGACGGGACTTGGCTAAAATCATGCAGGTAGGAGAGGAAGGTTTTGAACTCAGGTCTTTGAAGTCTAGGGCTCTTCCCACTGCCCCTAACCTAACTGGCAAATTCCCTCTTGGGCACCTGGCTGCTCATTTATTCATCATATTTTCTGCTGAGAGGAAGGGAATGCCCAGAGGTGAGAAGTAGCTTTATCTCTTAAGGTATGACAGCAGAAAAAGCGCTGGGCTTCTGTCAAGACATAACAGGCCTAATGAACTATACTTTCCTTCTGGGCCACGCCTTGCTGGGACCTGCTGGATCCTTTTTTTTTTTTTTTGGTAATATAAACAGATGTGCAACAGACATCCAGATGTGCAGCTCTTCTCACTTAGAGCCCTGACATGACAACAAAACTTTGTAGAAGAATAGCTGACTTGGTATTTAGGAATTCAAAGGTGGTGAACCTGGCCTGGAATCAGGAGAACCTGAGTTCAAATCTGGCCTCAGACACTTCCTAGCTGTGTGACTCTGGGCAAGTCACTTAACTGTTTGTCTCAGTTTCCTCATCTGTAAAATGAGCTGGAGAAGGAAATTGCAAACCACTCCAGTATCCTTGCCAAGAAAATCTCAGAATGGGGTCACCAAGAATCAGACATGACTGAAAACTACCAAACAAACAGCAGCATCTGTGATATACTGTTGGAGATGTTGATTGTTTTCCATGTCTTGTCTACCCACTAGATTGTAAGGTCCTTGTGAAGAGGGGGAGAAGGGGAAGAACCATGTCTGATTCATCTATAGATTTATTTCACTGAGCATTTATTAAGTGACTGTTATGTGCTGGACACAGTATTAGGATGCAGACAAAAATGTTCCTGCCCTCCCATAGCTTATGTTCTGTTGAGGGGAAATGCATCAATACAACATAAATGCAGAGGAATTGGGGGAGATCGGACTAGCAGCTGGGGAAGCAGGAAAGTGGTGCCTCAAGCTGAGTCTGGAAGGGGGCTAAAAATAGAGGAAAAGGGGGAGAACATTCCAGGTTTGACAGGTGGGATGGAATGTGCCCGGGAACAGTGAGCAGGCCAGTATGGCTGGGGCACAGAGGCTATGGCGGCGGTGCTTAATAAGTGCTTGTTGATGGAGAAAGGAAATCAATGTGGAATCAGCCTGGAAAGATGGGGAGACACAGCAGCTGGATTTCTCCTCAACTGTCTTGCTGAAAACCCAAAGAATCTCTCTGGGGTGACTGGATGAGATTATTCAAGTCAACCAAGGCTGTTACCAGCCGTGCCTTAGACAGAAGGCGTGAGAAAAGAGAGAAAATCTTTAGAGACTGCTTATGTTAAAAACCAAAAACCAAAAACCATACCTGCTGGCTTTCTTCTCCCACCCAACACATAGCAGTCTCTCTATGAATGACAGCTTTGAGGGTTTGCCAAATGCCTTCCACTCCAGCCTTCCTGTCCACTCACCACCCAAGCTCGGTCCTCATCGCCTCTTATCTGGACTCTTGTAATCAATCTCTCCTTAACTGGTCTTTCCCCATCTCGGATCTCTCCTCCACCACAGTGACTCTACAGTGATGTTTCCGAAGCACAATTTCTTGGCTTCTACTCGCACACGGGAGACAGCAGAGACAGACTTTGTCACGCTCTTTGCTCCATAAACCCAGTGGCTTCCTGTTACCCATGGGATGGAACACAAACGCCTCTATTTGTCATGTGAAGCCCATTGCAGCTTGGATTCAATCTGCTTTTCCAGACTTATTTTATATTGTACACCCTTTCCTCAACTCTGTGGTCCAGCCAAATTGGCTTTGCCATTCCCCAGATACAGGGCACCATTGTCCATCTTGGAGCTACTCTCCGTGCCTGGAATGAGCTATCTCCTAAGAAGCCCTATGTAATACATACCATGTATTTAGTAAGAAATGTGATAAATACCAGGTATTTATTAATAAATGTAATGATATGTTTATCAATAAATGTAACAAATACTGTGTATTTATTTTATACACACTTATATTGTACATGTTGTTTTCTCCTATAGAATAGACACTCCTTGAAGGCAAGGATTATTAGACTTTTGTCTGTGTATCCCCAGAGCCCAGAGCAATGTATGGCATATAATAAACATCTAATAAATGGTTGGTCATTAATTGATTTATAGCCATGACCTCATTCGATCCTTGCAATAATCTTGTGAGGTAGGTGCCAAGATTCTTTCCATTTTACAAATGAGGAAACTGAGGCTCAGAGAGGTTAAGGGATTTGCCCCAGGTCACACAGCTAGTAAGGTCTGAGGTCACCTTTGAACTCAGGTCTTCAAATTCAGGAATTCAAATCTGAGTCTTCCTGATTCCAAGAACTGCTTTCTACTCACTTCATAACATTGGCTTGCCATTGGGGAGACTATCTATCGTGTGTTATTCGGTTGTTTCAGTCATGTCTGACTCTTCATGACCCCTTTTGGGGTTTTCTTGGCAGAGATACTGGAGGGGTTCGCCATTTCCTTCTCCAGCTCATTTGAGGCAAACAGTGACTTGCCCAGGGTCACACAGCCAGTAAGTGTCTGAGGCTGGATTTGAACTCAGGTCTTCCTGACTCCAGGCCCTGGCACTCTGTCTAATGAACTGCCTAGCTGCCCAGACTGTGTCAGCTACTTCATAATCACAGACTTTTTGAGTCCAAAGGACCCCAGTGGCCCTCTGGTCCTACCCTGCAAAGGAATCTCCCCTTTAACACAACCAAGGTCTGTGCTGAGGAGGGGGAACCTTCAGAGACAACCCACCACATTTTTCGCATAACTCTAATTCTTAGGAAATTTTTCCTGAATTAGCCTTCATATTTGCCTCTTGGTAACTTCTCCCTGTGGTTCCTGGTTCTACCCTCAGAGGCCAACGGAATCTGGCTAACCCTTCCTCCATAAGACAACTCTTCAGCTGGCTGTCACGTCTCTCCTGAGTCTTTTTTCCAAGCTGAGCATTCCCATTCCTTCGACCAACTGTCATAGGACAAGGACTCAAGACCCACATCCTACTCATTGCCTTCTCTGTTGAGGATCTCTACAGCTTGCAGTAATCGAGAGGTAAACACTCCATTCTGTCCTGATGGAGGTGGTGCAGGCTTGTAACACCTGCTCAAGGGGACACTGAAGCTGGCCACTGGATGTACCAACATGGTGGGTCTCTTGGGTGGGGGTGCGGGAGGAAACACCAGGCTGCTTCAGAAGGGGCAGAAACAGAGTAAGTGCATGCTCCCCCACTGATCTGCAGTGGGACCCACCCCAAATTGGGAGCAATACTTCCAGCCTGGGGGAGATAGGTAGACCCACTCTCAAAAGAAAAAAAAATCCTTCCAAAATATTTTCTTTGGAGTCCTGAAGTTAAACCCACCCTAGTACACCCTAGGGTGTTGTGGTGTGATTGGGGTTACTGCAGAAAAAAGTTCAAATGGATAAGATCACATCATTGACAGACAAAAATGCAAATGTGATTAAACCCCTGTATCCTGCCAGGGCATTAGAGCTGGAAGCTTTGAAGAGTCACTGCTCTGATGCGAAGGTCAAATGAGATATTTGTAAAGTGCTTAGCCCAGTGCCTGGTACATAGTAGGTGATATATAAGTGTTAGCTATTGTTGTTGTTATTATTATTAATTTCTAGCACCCCTTGGAGAAGGGCCAGAGAAAAGCAACCAAAGTGATGAAGAAAGAGGCTGCGGAAGAACAGACCTCCACGTTCTCAGATTGTGTCAGGGGTGTCTGGCTTGTTTGAGCTCCTTACTGAAACCATGAGCTCTTTGTGGGCTCAGACTAAACCAGCCTTCTTTTGTTATTATTATTGTTTTGTTATTATTTGTTATATATTTATTATTATTATTCTATTATTATTATTATTAATTTCTAGCACTCCTTGGAGAAGGGCCAGAGAAAAGCAACCAAAACGATGAAGAAAGAGGCTGCGGAAGAACAGACCTCCACGTTCTCAGATTGAGTCGGGGTGTCTGGCTTGTTTAAGCTCCTTACTGAAACCATGAGCTCTTTGTGGGCTCAGAGTAAACCAGCCTTCTTTTGTATCTCCTTCATGACATCTAGCGCGGTGATGGGGACAAGGCAGGGTACTGATAAATGTTGAATTGATTTTGGCCATTACTGAATTGAGTGAAAAGAAAATTGAAGGCCTTTTAGTCTATGTAGGGTATAAGAAAACATTAATAGGCCAGGTTGGTCTCCGTTGCTCTAAAGGATAGAAATGGAGAATGACATGGAAAGGGCAGTGTGTATAATGGGTAGAGACCCGGATTTAATTTCCATCTCTCTCACTAGTGTTTGGGCAAGCCCCAAAGCCCAGGGGCTGTCCTTTTGCCCCTGGCATATAGCAGGCACTTAATAAATGGTGATTGATCTCTAGTCCAAACCCTAGTGAATAAGAATGTCTCCCTACAACATACCCCCCAAATCATCATGCAGCCTCCGTTTGGAAGAACTCAAGTGAGTAAGAATTCCTCCTTAATGGCAGTCCATTACACTGGGGGAGGGGGGAGATTCTAATTCTTAAGATGTTTTTCCTTATATTCAGCCACAATCTGTTTCCGCTGCTTTTGCCGTCTGAAATCTGGCTCCTCTTTCCCAGGAGAGCCTTTCACCATGACTCCCTCTGCCTTCTCCTCTCTCACCATCAAAGAGGCAGAGAAGGCCTCATCTTGTGCAAGAAGTCTTTCTGAGTCCCTCAAATGCTAAGGTACTTCCTTCCAAGCTACCTGGTAAATAGATTTGCATTTATTCACTTTACATTTATTTCTTTACATACCTGTTGTCTTCTCCATTAGATGGTAAGCTCCTTTTGAGCAAGGTGGATTTACTGTATTTATTATTTGAGGCAGCTAGCCTGTTAGACCAGGAGCCAGGAAGACCTGAGTTCAAATCTAACCTCAGGTACTTACTAGCTATGTGACTCTGGGCAAGTCATTGAACCTCTGTTTGCCTCAGTTTCTTGTCAAATAGAAGAGATAATAGCCCCTTTCTTCCAGGGTTGTTATGAATATTAAGTGAGATGATATTTGTAAAACACTTTGCAAACTTTAAAACACTATAAAACTATTAGCTATTATTTTCCATTGTATCTATATCCCTAGAGAATAGCACAGTGTCTGGCACAGTGGAAAGAACTCTGGTTCTACAGTCAAAGGACCTGGTTTCAAATTCTGCTTCTTAGTGTTTATTCCCTACGTGACCTTGGGCAAATAATTCAACCTTCTGGGCTTCAGTTTGCTCATCTATAAAACTAAGGGCCTCTTCTTCTTCTCCCTTTTTTTTTTTTTTTTGCAATTGGGATTAAGTGACTTGCCCAGGGTCATACAGCTAGTGTCAAGTGTTTGGTCTGAGGCCAGATTTGAACTTGGGTCCTCCTGACTTCAGGGCCGGTGCTCTATCCACTGCACCACCTAGCTGCCCCTAGGGGACTCTTCTAAGTCTATAATCTATGATTTATGATCTCCCTAGTTCTTTCAACTTTACTTGAGATGGCATAGACCTAAGACCCTTCAGCATCCTAATTGTCCAATCTATTGAGGTCCTGTTCAGTTTTTAGTCATCAAAGGGTAAAATGCTGCTTCCAGAATCTTTGTTTTGGGCCTCAAAATTTAAACCCATCCCACTGGGCCTCAGGGCGCTGTGGTATTGTGGGGGTCACAGCAGGGGAAGGACCTTGAAACTGATAAGAACCCATGGCAGTCAGATAAAAACAGACGCAGTCTCATCCGGCCAGATATTGCCATCTCCTTCCTGCCAAACTTTATCCCTCATTTTAAATGGCTGTTGGGCGCACTAGAGGTGCCAAGTGTGAGTTGCGACTTCAGGGAGGGAGTGGACGCATACCTTATTTCTATGCCAATATCCTCAGGATGGAAACAAACAGAAATAAAATTACAAAAATAAACAGGATATCAGTATGTTCCGGAAATGCTGCATCCAAACATCATTTTTTAGGATTTTCCACAGGGCCTCAGCTGTCAGTCTGGGGCCTCCTGGGCACCAATGTGACTGGCTCCACACCCAGGGGCAAGGCTTGTTTGTTTCAATGCAAGGGTACCTCACTGTAAATAAAAGCAGCTGCAGGAGGTCCCCTGGTTTTGCTGCAGTAGATTTCAGGAGTGGATCATAATAAAGTGGTTTGTATTTTCTGGTAGCTACTATGTTAAGCTTAGGATTGTGCCCGTGGCTGAGGGACTTGGCATCAAATAAGTCACAGAGATGGAAACTGACCTTTGCCAAAGTCCTCCTGCAACGTCTCATCCAGGTAAAGAGGTGGTTCTGTGATTCTTCCGAGTCCCTGGGAGAGTGAATCTACTCAGCTTTGGAACTCTAGCCGTAGGCAGAGCTTCTGGCTCTCAAGCTGGGTTTGGTGAGAGAATTCACCTTGGTGACTACAGGCCTCAGAGCAGACCATAGGGCACATTCTATCCAGCCGTCTTGTATCGGTCTTGCCACTACACCTTTCCATCTCTTATTTTAGGTACAACGATCAAATCAATACCTGCATTGCTCTCATCTCCTGGCCCTCTTCTTGCACTGGCTATCCACCATGCGTGGAATGAATTCTCTTTTCTTCCCCATCATAAAATCCTTCTCTTCTAAGAAGCTACTCAGGCACCTTCTTCTACACAAGGCCTTTCTTGATTTCCCCAAACACCAGTGGCCTCCATCCCAAACTACCTTGTATTTAGTTTATCTCTCTCTCTCTCTCTCTCTCTCTCTCCATATTTTTATGAATTTTATAGTTGTTGGATATATTTTTAAATGTTCTTCTTGTCTCCCCCATTAGAATGTAAATTAATGACAAGTATTGAACTTTTCATTCTTTGTGCTTGCGTCCCTAGAGCCTGGCACATAGTAGGCCTAAATAAATGCTTGCTGATTACTTCTGGCAAGGTCAGATCAACGGGTCTATGGGTCAACTTGGGGCGGGTAGGTGGCATAACGGATAGAATGCTGGGTATGGAGTCAGGAAGACGTGAATTAGAATTCAGCCTCAAGTACTTCCTAGCTGTGTGATCCTGGACAAATCACTTAACCCTGTTTGCCTCAGTTTCCTCATCTGTAAAATGAGCTGGAGAAGGAAATATCAAATCACTTCAGTGTCTTTGTGAAGAAAATCCCAAATGGAGTCAGGGAGAGTTGAACACGACTGAACAACCACAAAAATGGGTCAATTCACCAATCCTTGGATTCCCAAGGCCAAAACGCCCTTCCCTGGTCACTTCTCTTCTCTATGGGTCGCCTCCTACAATGAGAATGTAAGCTCCTCGAGGGCAGCGCCTGTCTTACTTTTGCGTCTATATCCCCAGCACTTAGTAGGGTGCCCAGCACACAGTAGCCTCTGAATGTTTTTTTCGTTCATTTGTCTTGATTTCTCAAAGGCCTTGACAGGGGAAAGGGAGACCTGGCAGGTTCTGCCAAGCTTGAATGGCTTCAGACATGGGCTCCATTCTTGCCTGAGGACCAGGCCAGCTATGTTTGTAGAGGCTGCTCACTAGGTTGGCTCTAAGGTGATGACTGTTTTCAGCCACTGCTGTCCTCAAAGACAATATATTAAGGCAGCAGGGGACATTGCATCAATGGAGTATGTGTCCACACTGATGAAATCAAGGGTCCATGAAGTATTGACAAATGGAACCACTCCATGTCATAAAAGCAAAGCTGAAACAACAGAGAGCCTTGGTCCTTTAACACGATTTAAAGTAGAATTATGCTTAATGTCCCATAAAGCAAGCAGAAAGGGATTGGACACACTGATTACACTTCTGGATCAAGTCCTTCTGGACTTCTCTCCCTCCCTGTAGGGGAGCCAGGATCTGACTCCAAGGCTTCTGTCCATGATGTCCAGTGGCCTTTGACCTCATCTACAAATGAAGAAATGGTATCTCAGAGAGAAGGGACTTGCCCACGCTCACTCAGATAGTAAGCGACAGAGGCAAACTTAGAACTCTCCTGACTCCAAGCCCAAGGCCCTTTCCACCGTCCTACTCTTTATTGTTGTTCAGCTGTGTCAGGCTCTTCGTGACCCCCTTTGGGATTTTCTTGGCAAAGATACTGGAGTGGTTTGCCATTTCCTTCTCCAGCCCATTTTACAGATGAGGAAATTGAGGCAAACGGATGAAGTGACTTTCCCTGGGTTACACAGCTAGTGTCTGAGGTCAGATTTGAACTCAGGTCCTCCTGACTCCAAGCCCAGGGCGCTTTCCACCTTTCAGGGATCAAGGTATATCCATAATTAGGCAATGTGGAATAAAAAGAGGTAATTGTGAAAAATGGGAACTGGTTGTGCATGAAAATGCTAATATTAAAAAAACACACACATAAGGGGGTAATTATTTGCTTCAAAAAGGAGTAGGAGTGAATTGTAAGCTCTTGGAGAACATTTAAAATAGGATTTAATTTGTGCCTGGATTTTCAGGAACATTTCTCTGGAGTACAATGAGGTACATGCAGAACATCTTTAAGGCACAGGTCAGTCTCTTCAGAGAGCTGACCACAAAGGCAGTGTGCCCTGGAGGGCAACCAAGCCTTGGCAGCACCCCTCCCCCCCACCCTGTAACCCAAAAACCAAAGACCCTGAGCACAGAATCGCCTACCATCCTCCTCTGCTCTATGTTAACTCTCATAAGAATTCTCTCTGTTAATGATAGATAGATAGATAGGTAGATAGACAGGTAGCTAGATAGACAGACAGATAAGTAGGTAGATAGAGATAGGCAGAGATAGCTATAGATGGAGATAGACAGGCAGGCAGACAGATACAGACAGGTAGATAAGTAGGTAGATAGATAGAGATAGACATAAACAGTCCAACAGACAGACAGATAGATAAGTAAGTAGACAGATACAGATAGATAGATAGATAGGCAAATAGATATAAGTAGGTAGATAGAGATAGATGTAGACAGACGTACAGAAAGATAGCTATAGATAAAAATATAGATAGATAGACAGATAGATGGATGGATGGATGGATGGATGGATGGATGGTCTTAGGCTAGGTGGCAGAGTGGATAGGGTTTGGTAGCTGAAGTTAGTAAGACCTGAGTTAGGATCTTGCCTCTGGCATTTACGAGGTTGTGTGAGCCTGGGCAAGCGGATTAATCTCTTGAAGGTTCAGTTTCCTCATCTGTAAAATGGCATTAGCAAAGCGCCCATCACACAGGATTGTTGAGAAGATCAGATGAGATCACAGAGTGCTTTGCACCCCAGAGAGTATTACATCAATCTCATTAGCATTTTTACTATAATAGTAATTTTTATGCTCAGGTAGGAATCTCCTAATGATAGTAAGACAGTGTCCCTGGCTCTCCTGCCCCTCTTGGACCCAGTGCTGAGAGTCTTTGAGCAACTTGGCGTAAAGCAGTCAGTGCTTCCTCTCTCTGCCTCTGTCTGACCAGCTGGCTGATTGCCCCCTGGCACATTTCCCCACAACGATAGCTTTGGGTGATTCTTGGGAATAGGGATCATTGCATCGTACTTGCATTGTGGACAACACACAGTAGGCACTTAATAAATGCTTGCTGAGTGATAGCTTAAGATTTAACGATCAGATTGCACTCCACAGAGTGAGGTTTACAAAGGATGGAAAAAATCAAGGTAGGATTGCAAGGGCTATTCCTCTTTTCAAGGTGCCCTGGGTCAGAGGTGTTTTTCTCCCCTTTCACTTCTCCTTTCTGGGGAAATCCCAGAGAATATATATAGCCAGCACTGTTCACCTAAAAGGAGAAGCAGATTTGGTTCTGGGGAACACAGGTTGTAGGCACTGCTTTCACCCAGTGGAATGCCAGAACCAGTTGGTACTAGCAGGCAAGAGCCAATCGTTAAATTTTCAATGTGAGCACACCTTGGACATTGGTAAACTACAAGTTAGGGCTTGATATATTGATCTGCTGACAGTCTAGACTTGAGAAAACAATGGAAAAATGTTAATGATGCAGATTAAATTTACAAGTGTGTCTAGCTACATTTCCAACCCATACCCTAGGAGAGCTGGGTGTTAAACATTTACCAGCACATCCCTGCTTTCACCCCTTTGCATCAGGAAGCTGCCCTGGGCAACCTCAGATATTCACAATCAGTCTGACTGAAGTCTGACAGCAACTGATCGGAGAAGGTAAGTGAAGAGAGCAGAGGGCCATAGATGCACCCCAGGGAGGGCTCGATCCCAGGCTCAGAGACAGTGAGAAGGAACCTTTCAGACCTTGTATTCCAAACCACTCAGGAGGTTAAATGATCAAGGTTACAAGGCCAACTCACTTCACTCTTCTGGGCCTAGTTTTCTCAACTGTAAAAATGATTCCAATGCAGAACGGGAGTCGACAGAGGGCAGGGACTGTGGGAGTGTTTTTGTCTCAGGAGTTAGCGTGGAAAGAAGACTAGCTGCTAAGTCACAGAGGCTGCAGAGCCCTCCTGGGTGCTCACTACAGCACCCAGTAAGTGTTTACTACAGGTTTGACATTGGGCAAACGACCCAGCAGTAACAGGTTGCATTTATTTATATAAGATTTGTAAAGCATTTACACCTATTCTCTCAACCTGGCTATCAGTTTCCTTCTCTGTAAAAGAAAGGGGTTAGGCTTCTGTGGGCCCTTCCAAGTCCGGATCTACTCCAGCGCCTGGAACATGCTGGGTTGTATCAGGGCTTCTTAACCATTATGGTATCGGCACCTAGCAGGCATGTCAAGAGTAAATGTTTATTGATTCATATGCTGTTTTGGCAATCTGATAAAGTCTATGGACCCCTTCTTAGAATCACCTTTTTAAAAATAGTTGAAGGAAATGCTGAATTTCAGTTGGAGACTAGTAAAAAATAAAGATGGGATCTCCCCACCTTGAGAGACACCCCCACCTCCCAACCCTCACCCCTTGGACTGTATGATCTATCCCTAAGGCTCCTCCCTGTTCTAAATCTTATGAGCCTCCAGTGGCAGGAGCAGGCACCAGATGTTTGGTCTCAGGAATCTTTGAATACATCCCTGTTGCCTCATTAACCAAGGTTGAATAGTGAGACAATCAGATTCTCCCCTCTCTAAAAATGCATTTTAAAAGATATTTAGGTTTACATAAATATGATCATATATATATACATATAGTTATATGGAAATATGAATATATATATATACAGAATCAGTTCTATATAGCATAACTATATATTTATAGTATGTTTAACTATATCCATAGTTATATATCATATATAACTACATAGTTACTTATATACTATATATAACATATTTATAACAAGATAGTTATTTATATAGTATATATAGCTATAGTTATATATGATTACATAACTATTTTATGACTATGGTTATTTATATAGTGTATATATAACTAAAAAGGTAGTTTTATATATAGCATACATAACCATATATTTATAAGTATAAATATATAAATAACTATCTATATAGGTACCTATCATATAACCAAGAGAATCTGGCCTCAGCCACGACCAGAGGCTTTGCTAACGGGCTCATTACTTGGCGGTGACTGCCAGCTGAATTGTCAATACAGAATTAACAATTAAAGCTCAATTACAGCCCCCTGCTCCCTCATTAGTCGCTGGGAGCCCCGCCCGAGAAGGCCAGCGTTCCTCGGGCTGGCTGGCGGTCCGTGGGTTCGGCCAGGCTGGGCTGGGCTGGGCTGGGCTGGACTGGCCTGGGGGGCCGGGGGGGGGGTCCCAGGAGAAAGGAAGGAGAGTGGGAGGAGGCAGGGCTGCTGTGCTGACAGCATCGGCAGAAGGGGCGGGCGCCCGCGGTTCCTCCTCCCCCTTCCCGCGGCAGCGGCTCGGCCCGAGGGGAAGACGAGCCCGCCCGGGGCAGGCTGAACATCCCGCCGCCTGAGTTCCCTCGCCGCCGCCGGGGGTCTCGGGAGTCCGCAGCGGTCAAGGGCGCGAAGCCGCGGCTAGGCGGGCAGTCTCCGCACCGCTGCCGCTCCAGAGGCGCTCGGAGCTCCCGAGGGCTCCCTGCCCGGGGCCGCGCTGCACCCCACGCTGCCCGCATGGACACGGCGCTGAAGCGGGGCCGGCAGGAGGAGCGGCTGGGCGACATCCCCCAGCCGCCGCCGCCGCCACCCACGGGGGAAGAGGACGAGGAAGAGATGGAGCCCGAGATGATGGAACAGGAGGATGAAGAGGAGGAGGGGGAGGAGGAGGTGGACCCCCGTATCCAGGTACGAGGTGGGGGGAGCGGCGCCGAACCTTCTCGGCAGCGTCTATGCGGGGTGCGGGACTGGGGCTGCAGCGCCCCACCCCCACTCCAAGCTGTCCGGGTTCGTACATCCCCATCCAGACTGAACTGACACCCCCCCACCCAGAGCCCCTCCCTCCCCCGAGTGGGTGCGGTACACCCGCGAGGGCTGCAGGCAGGGGAGAGGGGCAGCTTAATTTGGGGCGGGGCTGGGGTTTGGGTAGATCAGGCTGATTGAGGTGAGGTGGGAGGGGTGCGGACACCCCTTCCTCGGTGAGACTCCCCCCACCTCGCCTGCCGCACCCACGCGCGCTGCTCGTGGGCTCCCGCTGTTTGCAGCCTACTCCAGAAGCATCTGGGGGTGGGAATGACTAGCGGTTCGGAAGGAGACGGACAACAAAGGACAAAAGGGGGTGGGGGGTGAGTGGGAGGTTCCTGGTCCAGCACCGGCTCGGCGGTGGGAGATTTAATTCTTTCCTTTACCCCTTGGGTCAATGCCTAACAGTTGTAGGCTCTTCATCTCTGGGTCTGGCTACGAAATTGCAAAATGTCCTAGCTCCTTCCCTTTCTCGTGCACGGAGAGAGGGCTCGTCCCGTGACTAGGGTATGCCCCCACCCTCGTGGGCACCAGTCACCGTGGGAGCAGATCTCCCGCAGGGACAGAATATGCCCAGGATCTCTGCTTTCCATAGCTGAGGCTGCAGGTGCCCCTCGCCCCAGGGGGGGTGAGTCACCGGGGCATCCCCATAGAAAAGTCTTCCCTTTCCTCTAATTCATTGTTAGCCAACATGGTTTCATTGTCACTTTGGTGGGGCTCCTGCTGCAGACCGGCCCCTTGGCCCGAGTCCTTTTCACAAACCTTGGTTTTTTCCTGATTGTTGGGCCAGTGGTAGTGACTGGGTAGCACGGACAGAAAGGATTTAAAGCCGCCCTGCTGAAATATGGGGCAGGGAGGCTTTCTGTCTTCTGACTCCTAAAAAACAAGTTTAAAAACCCTGTAAGGTCAGAATTCAGGCAGGGATCTAGGTTTGAGAACTCACCTTCCCTCTCCCCAGAATCTCCTAACTCATAAACACAGTACAATAAATTATTTTTTCCAGGATCTTGCCTCTCCCTCCACCCCAGGGTCATTTTTCTATTGCTTAAAAGCTCTTATGCAATTTTTCTGAGCCCTAATTGGTTTTTCAGTTCACAAATCAATTAAAATATCATTTAACTCTATGGATGGGGTTTGAATGAATTGGTGGAACCGATTAGCAAGATAAAGGTCAGGTGGGAAATCGAGAATGATGCTTTTGAATGAAAATGTTCAATTTAGACCCCTTGAAACCAGGGCTACACCGCCCCCCCCCCGGGCTTTTCAGAGCAAGATTCTTTGTTTCCAGAGTACAGATTATACAACTTTAACTCTCCTTTTTACAAACTCCAATTTTCAGTGGAAGGGCAGGGTCATAAATAAAAGTTAGCCGTTTTAAAAACAGCTAGTGAGATCACCTAGCTGGCTGTGTTATTGTTGTTTTTAATCCATTCATTAACAAAGGGGGAAAAAAGCCCTCAGCTTTTTCTGAGCTATTGTCAGAAGTCAGGCCTTTGATTTAAAGACTTACAGTTTTGTGAGCTGGGTAGATTCTCGACCTCGATTTATTTTTGGACTTCTAGGCTTCCCTTCTTCCCTTGTTGAAAAGATAGACAGTCAATCCTTAGCGCTGGGGCACTCACCGGTGCCAGGGTAGCAGAGCTGCTACTCTGAAGTCAGAGTCCTGGAACAAGTCTTTGCATTGACAAGCAAAGAGAAATAAACCTTGGTGGAATTACCAGAAAAAAACCCAACAACTTAGTCTTAAAAATCTTACATGTATTTACACACACACACACACACACACACACACACACACACACACATGCATTTCAATGGTGGTTTTGCCATCTCCCTCTTCCCCCTTAACTAGGGACAGCTTTCATGGAAAGGTTTTTAAAACATAAGAAAGTTCATCTATGTTTCTGTTTCTAGTTAACATTCCAGCCAGGGCCTGAGCTATTTTCTTTAGGATGGCTGTCAGGATTAATAATTCTCCCTTTCTCTTCTATTTTGTTCTCTTTGTGTCTGCTTTCCAGTAATATACTAGCTTTACTTTAAAAAACAAACAGAAAACTCCTATAAATCTTTAAATCAGTTGTTCTTAAGGTTTTTTTTCAGTCATGTTCATTTTGAGTCACGTTTGAGGCGTGAGGTGATGCCTGTGATCCCTTTCTTAGACGAATGTTTTTAAATTATTGAAGGAAATGCTAAATTCCAGGTAGAGATTAGTGAAGGTAGAGATGTAATATTCCCCCCCTCCCGTCCAAGTTTGCAGACCCCTCTGGTTAGGAGCCCCCACTTTACACTGTTTTCCTTCTTTCTCCAGGGTGAATTGGAGAAGCTAAACCAGTCCACAGATGACATCAACAGACGGGAAACCGAGCTTGAGGTAGGGATTTTTGGGTCTCCTTCCCCTCTTCTGTGAAAGGGTTTCCACCAGGGATTTCTGTTTTTGGCCAGTTGTTTGATTTTAATGGTCTTGAAATGATTGTTGTTTTCTCCTTGGGAGCTTGACAAGTAATAGCTACCTGAAGCAATTGGGTTCAAACAGCTGAGCTCCTTGTTTATACTCTGCTTTTTGTGACTGGAGCTGGCTCAGTCAGGCCCAATCTCAAAGGTCTGCATTGCATCACCTAGACTTAAGTGTGAGCCTGACGGATGTGGGGAGAACAATTAAGGAGCTCTCCCTTCCCACCCAGATTAATGACTCTCTCCTCTTTGAGCTCAGTAAGCTCCTGGAGAGTAGAGATCATTCAACCATCCTTAGTCTCTCTAATGCCTGGCACAGTGAGGGCACACAGGAGGTGCTTAATTAATACTTCTTGGTTGACCTACCTCTGTATCCCCAGCCCTTTAGATAGGAGAACACACACACACACACACACACACACACACACACCACACACGCTTGATAAATTTTTGTTGAATTATTGAATTGGAAACGACAAGCTTTGAGGCAATCATATATATTTCAGGGTGGCCATTTTATTGTTTTTGTATGCTTGGAACTATTTCATGTTTATTCAGTCTGGCTGTGGAAAGAAAGGGCAGAATTGGGAAATTACAGCCCCTTCCTTTGCATGTATGACATATAGTCTTTTGAATGGTACAGAGAGTTGGTTAGCAAGGCAAGGTCTTTGGACTGGGAAAAATTCTAAAGGCAAGCTTTATTTACATTTTGTCAAGTCAAAAAGTACTTATTAAATGCCTACTGTATGCCAAGTGCTGGGCTAAATTCCATGAGAATTTGAGAACTAGTTAGTAAATAGGTTCATTTTCTTCAGGGCGACCAATTGGTCTCTAGTTCTTTTTGGTTTTTTCATCTATTGGAAAGATTGAACAATCTCTTTTAGTTTGTGGCAGAATTCAAATGATGCTCTTGAGGGGAACAGTCTGAATCTCGTAAAGCGACCTGGTGTCTCTCAGCAAGGAGAACCAAGGCTATAACAGAGCAAATAGTTGGACTGACTAGCTTTTGTGACTGTGAGCAAATCATTTCCTCTCTCTGAGCCTCAGTTTTCTCATCTGTAAAATGGGGAGAGAAGAAAAGATGATTTCCATGCCACTTCTTGCTTTAAGCCTGATCTAGAAGTCAAATGTAAACTAAAAGAGAAGAAAATCTCTTCATTTGTTCCTGATTGGTACATTTATAAATGGGATGCCAGTGTTGACAGAATAATTTGCTAGAATACCCTGCCAGCTCTTTTTCTGTGCTCCAGATCTAGGCAGCTTGGAGGCCCAGTACATTAACTGGGCCTGGAGTCAGGAAGACCTTAATTCAATCCAGGCTTAGATACTTACTAGCTGTGTGACCCTGGGCAAGTCACTGAACCCTTTTTGCCTCAATTTCCTCATCTGTCAAACGAGCTGGAGAAAGAAGTGGCAAAACCACTCCAGTATCTCTGCCAAGAAAACACCAAATGGGGTCATGAAGAGTCTGACATGACTGAACAACAAATCTAAGCTTGGAATAAGTAAATATAGATATGGCAATCTGAACTTGGGCCTATGTTGTTTTGAAGGCAAATGGGTTAATGTCGTTCCAGCCATGCAAAATAGGAGGGAATGAAAGAAATACAGGACCGTAGATTTACAGCAGGGTCTCTTCACTGTTTGGTTGTTATGGACCCCTTTCCAAGTCAGGCTGGTGGAGTCTCTGGACTCTTCAGAATCATGGTTTTAAGTACATAAAATAAAATATATAGGATTGCAAAAGAAACCAAGTATATTGAAATAAACATGTAATTCCTCTTATCCTTCAAGATAATGGACCTTCTAAAAATCTATCCAAGGATCTAAGTTAAGAACTGATGTAGAGAGAGCATTAGCTGCACCTGGGTTCAAATCCTGCCCTCCAACAAGTCTGTGACCTTGAGCAGGTTTTTTAATCTGTCTAGCCACCAAGTTTCCTCAGTTGTTAAATGAGGAGGTTGAACTACGTGGTTTCCATCCCTTCCAGTTTTAAATCTGTGACTCCATGACCTATCGGGCCCTGCAGGTAATCTGGGCCAACCCCTTCATTTTACAGATGAGTAAACTGAGGTTCAGACAAGTTTCCAGAGTATTAAGGGGCTGTGCTGGAATGTGAACTTGGGCCTTCTTTTTTGGGTATTTTGCACCACTGCCAATTTTTCTGCCCTTTTTTTGGGGAGCATTTATAGACATTTGTGGACAAGCTAAGTATACAGAATGTTCTACAAGTCTTAGTCCAAGCTTGGGCAATGAAAACTCACACACTGTCTATAAGGGAGAATGCTGGGAAATGGGTTGGATAAGGGGATTCTGTGGTGAGTACAGGTGGCCACTGTGAAAAGCTTCCCCCTGGGGAGAGTTTTTGGTGACTGTGAAGCTTTTCTTGATTTGTGAGGCTAACATACAATTTAACCCATTAATGAGCTTATCTCGGCTTTCTTTTCAACCTCATTTGGGATGCACTTAGCTCTTCCTAGATGAGGGGCAACTATATCCAAGAGGGTGCTTCCCACCTCCCAGTAGCTCCTGGGGCACATGCCCTTCTGTTTTTTGATCGTCCCCATTACAGGAGAGTGAGGAATGAGGAACATAGAATAACAATCTTGTGGTCAAAGGTTGCCGTGGAAGGGTGGGGCTATGGCTGTCTGGCGGATTTAATGAGTGTCATAGCCAAGAGTGACTAATAGGCTTTATAAGCAAAAACACACTTGGGGCAGTGTGAGATCATAGGTTCCTTGATTCAGAGATGCAAGGGACATTTGGAATTATCTAGTCTGACACTTTTAGTTTGTTTTGTTTTGTTTTTTGCTTTTTGGTGAGGCAATCAGGGTTAAGTGACTCACCCAGGGTCACACAGCTAGTTAAGTGTCAAGTGTCTGAGGCTGGATTTGAACTTGGGTCCTCCTGATTCCAAGGATCTATCCATTGTGACACCTAGCTGCCCCCTGACACCTTTATTTTGCAGATAGGGAAACTGAGGCCTCTAGAGGGAGCCTACCTGCCCATACTCCCTCAAAATAGAGCAGCTGGTTTTTGTGGTGCCAAGGGATTACAGGACCTGAGACATGAGCATTATATATTCTGTTATACAGGGTTTAGGTATGTTGTTGTCCTTGGACACTTTTTATTTTATTTTTAAAAAATTTATTTATTTTATGTTACTATATTAAAGTGTAACTCATGTCTTTTGGGGGTGGGGTAGGGGTGTGTGTGTGTGTGTGTGTGTGTGTGTGTGTGTGTGTGTAGGGGACAATTTGGACCTGTGAGTTCATTAGTATAGGAAACTGCCAGGTGAGAAAACTCTGTTAATGCAGATTAGCAATGTTTCTGCAGCTGAAAGCCTCTACAGAGCTGCCTGGGGCATGGAGTAGTTAAGTGACTTGTCCAGGCTCACACAGTCAGTATATCTCAGAGACAAAACTTGAGCTCAGGTTTTTTCAGACTCTGACACCACCACAAAGAAAAATAAAATCGGTGGAACAAAACTAATTGATACAGTGACTGTCTGATAGCATAAGCCTCATTCTGCATCCGTAGTCCACCCATTCTCTAGGAGGAAAGTAGGGACAATGAAATAGAATTTTTAAATTGCTTTTTCTATCTTCTCCCTTCCTGTCTTGGATTTTATGTCTAGTGATACCCACTAGAGTCTTTGGTGACAATTTTTTTTAATATTATCTGTCCTTAGCATTCTGATTCTAACAGGTAGGAAGTCAAGGTATGTAGAAGGATATTGATATTTGTAATATATTTATAATAATATTTATAGTAACTCAATTACATAGTGTTTAGCAGTCTACAAAGTGCTTTCCTCAAAGAACCATTAAATTTGCTTATGTTAAGAATCAGAAGATCCAGATTCAAATCTCACCTTAAAGCTGTATGCCATGCTAATCTCTTTAACCTCTCTTTGCCTCAGTTTCCTCGTGTATAAAATAAAGAATTGGACTGAATATTCTTTTTCAAAATCTTCCAATTTTTTTTAACATTTTTTTTGTTGAGTTTCAAATTCTCTCCCTCCTTTCAACCCCTCCTCCACTCATTGAGAAGGCAAGTAATGTGATCTCAATTTTTCATGTGAATTTGTACGAAAATGTTTCTAGCCATGTTGCAAAAGAAAAAGCAAGAAAAATAAAGGGGAAAAATTATGCTTTAATTTGCACTCAGAATTCATCAGTTCTCTCTCTGGAGGTGGATAGTAGTTTTCATCATGAGTTCTTCAGAATTCTTGGGTCACTGCATTGATCACAGTCATTTACAGCTGGTCATCATACAGTATTGTTGTTATTGTATACAATGATTTGGTTCTGCTCCCTTTGCTTTGCATCAGTTCATATAAGTCTTCCCAGGTTTTTCTGAAACTAACCTGCTTGTCATTTCTTATAGCGCAATAGTATTCCATCATAATCATATACCACAACTTGTTCAGATTGAATATTTTTTTCAAATATATTTTATTTTCCCCCAAATTACATGTTAAAATGAGGATTTTTAAAACTTTTTTTAACAAAAGTTTTGAGTTCCAAATTCTATCCCTTTCTTCTCTTTCCTCTCCCTGAGATGATAAGCAATCAGATATAGGTTATACGTGTTCAATCATGTACAACATTTCCATATTGGTCATTTTGTACAAAAAGACTCAAAAGAAAAAGAATAAAAGAAAGTGAAAATAGCATGCTTCAGTCTATTTAAACAATACCAGTTCTTTCACAACATGACTGATGTGGAAGTATGTTTAATATGATTGTACATATAGAGCCTGTGTCAGATTGCATGGTGTCTTGGTGTCTTGGGGAAGGCGGGGAGAGGAGAGAGGGAGAAAAAACTTTGGAACTCAAAATCTTATAAAAGTGAATGTTGAAAATTATATTTACATGTAATTGGGAAAAATACTATTAACATCTAAAACAAACAGTA